CACAAGAGGGGGGAGCGGGAGAGGGAGAAGCAGACTCCCTGCTGAGCAGGGAGCCCGATGCGGGACTCGATCCCGGGACTCCAGGATCATGACCTAAGCCAAAGGCAGTCGCTTAACCAACTGAGCCACCCAGGTGCCCGAGAACTGGCAATCTTTCTAAGTAAACATTTCTAGGAAGGTGGGCACCCTCTGCCCCTGCCCAGTAATTTTGAGGTTCCCTACAGGATCAATAGGTTTCATCTCCTATCTTCATTTTCCTAGTGTGATACACACAGAACATGGTGGAGGCAGTAGAGAAACAGGAAGAGGTTATCTGCTCACCCTCGGGTCTCTTTAGGTCAGTAGCACAGCAAGGTTAAATGCCTCCCCGTCAGACTTCTTTCCAAAGAGTTGATGGCGCTGATGGATCAATTTGGAACAAACAAGGAGGACTCCTTCTGCTAGATAGTGCTTGGAGGTTACAGCTTTGGGTGGGCGTGACCCAGGTAATGTGTCAACCTGGACACTTCAGTTGGGATAAACACACATTGCTCATTAGAGTTAACGTTTTTCTCTCCCTTCCAGTTACAGGTGCAGAATGGGCCTCTAGGACAACGAAGTGAAGGGGAGCCGAGTGGCATCCCCATAGCTCTGGTGCTGGTGCCAGCGTTTGCCCTCACCATGGTGGCAGCCTGGGCCTTCGTGAGATACCGGCAGCAACTATGAAAAGCTTGCTCTCTTCCAGTGCTCCCACTAGAAGACACGTTTTCTTTCCCTCTCACCCTCGTCCCCTGCCATTCTCCCATATCCTTCCCTCTCTCTGCATAGCCAACACGTCCTTGAAAGAGACTGCTACCCAAGCAGGACCTCACTGTCCAAATGTCCACATCCTCATATATAATGGGAGAGTGAAGGCATTGTTTGAAAGAAAGCTGAAGAAAAGACATGCTTAGAACAAATGGGGAGTTAAGTATTTTGCTCGGATCACCAACAGGAGTTCAGCTACCACCCAAAGAGGGAAAGGTCGGTCTTTCCGTCAGCACGGTGATACCTTTTTCTGAGCTGGCATGCCTCAAAGGCCAGCTGTGTGATGCAAGAGAAGAGAGGATTTTTCTTCTTAATGATCTTCCTTGGGAAGTTTTTGTGGCCTTTATTTAATTTCTATCTACATACTTGGGTGCCTATATCAAACACAGGATAATGAGAGCCTTTTTACTTTTATAAAATAAATGCATGCGCACGTGCGCGTGCACACACACACACATATCCATACATGACAGTATAATAGTGATGCCTTACGGAGAATTAAAGAAGTGGAAAGCTGCTCTGTGGTTTCAGGTTTCTGATAAAAGGGAAGTTCTTAATGGAAGAATTTGATACATAGCAGGAGTGAGAGAATGAGCCTTGAAAGAGGATGCCCAATCTGAGTCATTAAAAAAAAAAAAAAAAGCAACTAATTAAAAATCTTAGAACAATATTTCTTCTCATTATAGCTATGCTGAAGTGGAGGTAAAATGCCATAATCCAGCTTTGTGCAAGTCGATCTGTTCCACACCCTTTGAGATGTAAAGATAAATCTTACTCGTTCTCTGGGCTGCCCCAGTGACTTTTTTGGTACCTCATAGTCCTGTTAAAGGATCAGCTGGAATGACTGTGGTCAGAGCTTTGGTGATGAGGCCAGACCAACCCAGTGAAAGAACTCTAAAATACAAAAGGATAATGACCCCAAGGTGACACCTGAACCCTCTCAGGCCATCTAACAGATTTTTTTGGTTTCTAGTGATAGGCAAATTCTAAGAGAAGGACCTGCTCTCTGGCAGGATAGGCATGAAATCAGCTCTGCTCCTGATTCAGTTGAGAGGGTTTGGATTGCAGGTTTTTTTGAAAGGCTCTAAACACTGGCTATGGCTTTTAATAAACCCTTTTGCAGGGAATGGGAAGGAAAGGGGATTTGTTTTGTTTTAGTGGGTAGGGAAGTTTGGTGGATGTTTCATGGGGAAACCTTGAGAGAAGGCTATGGATGAATGGATGCTCAGGAATACCAAAGACATTAATGAGGTGCAAACCATTCTGTTCGTGTGATATCGAACGTTGGTTTTAAAACACTAAAGAGAGCTGAACCAAGACTAATTCTCTGGCTTAAAAAAAAAAATCATTTCCGTCCTCCAAATATATTATCTAGACTATAGGCCTTACATAATCCTGACAGCATGAGTATGAAGACTTTCCCTGAGGTAACCAGTTGTGTCCAGTTTTTAGCATGGATAATCCAGTAAGCATTTGTTGATTGGACACCACCTTAGTTAAGACACTTTCACAAAGAATGTCACATTTATATTGCAGACAGCAACAGGGAACAGTTACTGAGAAGACACTTGAGGAAGTTCCATGGAGGAAGGGGATGAATTAAGGACCCTTGAGGAGCTCACAGTCTAGTTAAGAGAATTCATAAATAGATGAGCAGTTAAAAGTAGCAACAGACATGTGCAGGCAGCCATCACATTTTTTTCCCCCAGGAATTCCAAAAAAGAAAGCTGTCACATAATGGCATCAGGCCAGAGTGGGAAGGGGAGGCTTTTAAAAATAAAAACCCTCGTAAGACCTTGCCTCTGGGCCAACCATTGGTATAGGGAGAAACTTCCTTTAAACAATCCTGATAGGACTTGGGCCTTTAGACCTGAAGTGTTCAGTACCTTTGAGCCTCACTTGGACGGCTGCCCCTGTGGGTCAGCAAAGACACACTGACAGTATTCCAGTTCTCCCCTCGACCAGCCCCGCTGTGCGGGCCCAAGCCATGCCGCCCTCCCTGCATCTGGAGGCTTGTGCGACAGCTTCTGCCGTGGGCCTGCTTCCCTCCCAGGGTTCATCTCAGGGTTTGGACATCAACTCCTGAGAGGACCTTGAGACGTTCACAATGAAGCAAATGGCAAGCAGGAGGGAAAGCTATCTAGTGTTTTTTTGTTTGTTGGTAGATGTAAATAAAAAGGACTCCTATCACCTCGTCGGTAGAAGTTTTGCTTTGTTTAATGATAGGGATTCTTATGCACTTTAATAATTTAGATTTTCCCTGGAATTAAAGAGCATTTAAAGATCCATGATTAAAGTTTTAGACAAGTATACTATTCAGTTTTTATTTCTGATTCTCTAGAAAACTAAATTATTATCCTAGATGAGGTATCGGATTTTATTGTAAGTCATTAAAAAAATTCATGATCTTTATAGATGGAATCTAATATTTCTTTCACGTTATAGATTGTATCTAATATTCCTGCTACCTAAATTACTGTGTTTAAAGTTTTGAAAATTGAGTGCAAGTATTTTAAGACAACATACTTAAAACACTTCTCTGTATTTATCATCTTATATTGCACACAGAATTTAGTAAGACATTGTTTGCTTCTGTTGTCTCTCTTTTCCTGCCAGGTTTTAATCTGTGCTATTGATTTCACTTAATTATTCACACCATCTAGCCATGTACAATGGAAAAAGGAAATTAATATTTGTTACTGCATTTTGTGCCACGTAGTGCACTAAACCTGGGTGGGTACACTATTTGTTCATGACTCACAATTCTGAGATCTAAGTATTGTTAAAAAGACACTAAGGAAAAGAGAATAAATTACTTTTCCTAAGATTACATAGGTGGTAATGATAGAATCAGGATATAACTTAGGACTTCAGGTGCCACTGTCAATGATATTTCTCACTGGCTGCAGCTCTCAAAGTGTGGTCTCTGGATAAAAGCATCGGTATCACTGGGGAACTTGTTAGAAAAGTAAATTCTTGGGCTTCACCCCAGACCTACTGAATCAAACTGCGTACAGCACCCAGCAATCTGTGTTTTAACAATCCCTCCAGGTGACTGGTTCGCAGTAAAGTTTGAAAATCACTGCTCTCTACCAATAGTTCTCCCCTTTTTCTCAGGTTAGAATCATCTGAAGAGCTTGTAAAATTCTTGTGCCCAGGCTGCACGTAGACCAATTAAATAAAATCTCCTGGGTGGGGGGGTGAGACTTAGGCAGCAGTAAAATAAAGTTCATTAGGTGCATCCACTCTGCGGTGTCAGTAAACAATGCTCCATGGCATTTACATTATTAAATAAAAACTTAAAGGAATTATCAAATCACACACAGGCATTTGCTCCAGTATAAAATGAGAACTTCACTTGGGCCTTTTTAGAGCCCAGCTCTCTGTGAGCTTCTGCCCAAGTATACATGTAGAATAAGAAATAGAGCATTCTATGGCTTCTTACTTGCTGAGGACTGACCAGCAAAATGCATTAGTGTTTCAGTTTGTGCATCTGTTAAATAAATTAGAACCCAATCAAAGAACATTGGAGCTAAAAGGGAGCAAGAAAGATTCTAGGATGAATCTAAGAAAGAGATGAGAAAATCAAAGCCCAGAGAGGTAAACAAACAACTCCGATCAAAGACTTAATCTGTTGCAGAGGTGCCCTTTCTGTCTCATATTTATGTCTGGAATGTATGCACTATATGAAAATAGATGAAACTATCCTTTTTATCTCAATCCACTTCTATCTTCTCTCTGGGCCTTGAATAGAGACCGGGGACTGCAAGCCATCATGCAGAACTGGGAGATTCCACGGAATAATGTGTGAAAGCCCTAATATAAAGTTCCATCACATGAGTTCTTCTGTGACTAGTTCCAGTAGTTCTAAACTAGAGAGGGTGTTTTTTGATGTTGGACATTGTTTTTCTTGTGTAAATAGCAATTTAAACTATATTTAAAGAAACGGAACAACATAAACATTAGGCTGTCAAGTATGGGCAAGGGGTGGGGAGTGACATTTGTGTAATTTCATGTGGAGCCAATGAAGATTTTATTCTAGTCCATTTTAGTCAGAATTTATCTTTGGACAGATGAAGCTTTTTTCTTTCAACACATGAGTGCCTTACTATATACAGCTGACAATACAGAGATGCATAAGATCTAGTCACTCTAAGCTGAAATAGCTCATTATCTGAACACGGGGGAGTATTTGTTGGTGATCTTAAAGTATTTTGCTAACATCATCTAGAAGTAGAAGATTAAGTTATGAAGCTCTCAACCTCTTACCTATAATAGGTTTAGAGTTGGTTACTATCCTGGAATAAGCCCCCTTTGCTCTTTCTCTTTGTTCTGTTAAGCAAATTTTTTTGAGACCAGCACTCACATCCAAAAGGGCAATTGGGATAAAAAAGAAGACAGAATTTTAAGGAATTCTGTTCTGATCGGAACCAGGTTCTTAATTGCCATAGACTCTTGCCTGATGTTGATATTTATACACACACACACTATAAAACACTTGATGTGCTTACCTGATGCCTTTGCTACTGTAACAACCTATATCATAAAAAAGTATTGCTGTGTCTAAAGGAGTTCTACAAATGCTAGGTCCCTAAACATTTTCCATACTGTTCATGTTCTTTTTCTTTTTGCAGGGGGAAAAGAGTAGGGGAGAGCGCTGAAGTATGTTTTCAAATGCAAGTCAGTCATTAACAGAGTCATTGACAAAAGAACTTCACTAAATTTATTAACCAATCACAGGCAAATGGGATGATCCCTCTTCCTAGTTTACAGATTTCCGAATTGAATCCCAATTTAATTCTGCATTTGCAATGCTGATTTGAATATGAGTTTCTTATTCCTGGATATATGTGCATTTTTACCCCCGGGCCATGTTACTTCTCATACGATTATTTTCCTTATGAACCTTATTTTGCTTCCTTTCTACTTTTTTTTTTTTTTAAAGATTTTATTTATTTATTCATGAGAGAGAGAGAAGCAGGCTCCCAAGGAGCAGGGAGCCCGATGTGGGACTCGATCCCAGGACCCTGGGATCATGACCTGAGCCGAAGGCAGACGCTTAACCATCTGAGCCACCCAGGTGCCCAATTCCTTTCTACTTTGATCCTAATTCACATTACATGCCTAGATCTAAACAGCAATCAGTTTCTCAGGTCAAATAGATGCCCTGATGTAACTTGGAAGACACAGGGACATAAAACCGTATCTTCTAGGGAATATCACCACAGATTAAATTGTAAAAGAGGCCATTAAAATAGCTGATAATCTCTCCTAAGCTTTGCTCTTTGATACCAGAGATAGCAAACAAGGTAACAGTGTATCTGACTGTGCCTCGCTCATATCGGCATTCAATGAAAACTTTTTGCATTTGTCAAGGAACCTTTACATCTTCTATCCACCTTATTTTGGAGATTATTGAATAAATATATCCTTATTTTTCTGCATCTCACAGAACAGTGGAAAGAGGAAAGGAAGAAGTCTGAATGACCAGTTTGGGGTTTGGCTTTGATGTAGGAGATAAGGATAAGGGTACACACAGTCGCCAACATTTACTATCTTATTTGTATCCCCTCTATGCCCCAAATGCCTGACAAGACATATAGAAGGCAGAAATGGGTTTGTGCCACAGAATGAAAAAGGACTTGTCAGAACTGAATATTGACCTTTTGTCTAAGTTGCTTTGCATATAGTTGACTTGGATAAAGAGAAAAGGCAGTTTACCTTGGTCATCATTGCTCTGTCACATGACTTAAGCAAAGTTCAGACCTGAATGAAGTCCAAGGGCTAGTCTATCATTGTAGTGTGTACAGAATGGCCCTTTTCTCCCTTGATGGGCAAAGAAGATATGTCAGTTATCAATTACATAACAAACCACTGCAAAACCTCATGAGTTAAAACAATATTTTAATAATTTTTAAAAGATTCTATGGGTTTCTGAGTGTTTCTTCTGCTGATACCACCTGGGGTCACATGCAGCTGCATCCATCTGATGGCAGAACAGGGGTGAGGGCTGGGCAGTCCAGAATGGCCTCACTTTGGCACTTAGTCCTGGCTATTGGCTAGGGTGCTTTGATTCTTCACCACGTGGCCTCTCATCTTCCAATAGGCTAGACTGAGCTCTTCACAGCATGGGGGGAGACCATATCTGATCAAGATTTGAAGCCAGACCAGAACTTGTTCTGTGCTCTTTATACTCCACCACATTGTCCTTGCTTGTGTGTCTAAGAAGAAAATAATGCATGTAGAAGAATAATTTATTCATGGAAAATTTATTTGCCAGAAGTCACAAAGAGTAGGGACTCTTCAGGTGCAGATAGAAGATAGGGAATAAGAAAAGGTTGGTAGTTTTTCCGACCTGTTTTAGATATTGGGTATTAATAGAATAATTGAGGTATAGTAAGGCCAAAAGATCAGGAGACAACTGACATTGAAAAGACAGCCTGTTACACAAGGTTCCCAAGAGAAGGGGACACATCCTGCCATGGGGACCACGGAGGAAAGCACTAGCATTGGTCGTAAGGCAGAGGGAAAGGGAGGAGGTGTGGACAAGAGCCGTTACTGTGGTTGCATGGGAAAGAGCAGGCAACGCCAGGTAAATAGGGTTAGGATTGTCTGGTTTGAATAATTGTAGTGGTCTTTGTGGCATACCTAGTTGTCTGGTATCTGGCCTTGGGGTGATTAGGGCATGTGAATAATGACCCTGAGCGTGAGAGCTCCATAAAGGAGTGTGGGCTCCAGATTGTTTGGTTCGTATTGGAGAAGTACACTCATGAGAGAGTTGTTCACTATCTGTAAAAATCCGTTGACCCTGGGAGGAGCAGTCCCTGCAGGGTCAGCAAGGCCCCAGATGTCAAAACATTAAAATACAAAAAATAAAAAACCTAGTGAATGCACTTCCACTACTACTGTCGTGGGTTCTCTGTCCCTCTAATTTCTACTGTTTCTCCCAAACCTGTAGAAATGACTGAGATACATACCCAAAGGTAATCTGAACTCTCTAGAAAATAGCCAAGAACAAGGAAGGAAGCAATGACAACAATTTTTTTTTAAAACCTGAGCAATCAAATATCACCAAACCCAGGAGCAAAAAGTCCTCAGTTTTATTTGATATAATTTTCTAACAAGCTTGGTTAGCCGGTTTCCTAATCCATAATCAATTACTAGTTAAAATTATGGCTGGTTCCACTGCCTGCTAGGGTCTGGCAATATGTAGCCTGCAGGGCCCCTGAGCAGTTAATGGGGAGTGATTCTTCCATCTCAAAACTTTCATCCATCCTCAACCACACTGCAATTGCATTTCAAACTTTGTACCTGAGGCCAATGGTTAATTAGGAACCACTGTATAGAGAAGAGGTTTTGAGTTAGTTTTTCTGGACAGCAACCACTATCTAAAGCAAAGGACCATGTCAAATGACCCTGGGTCATTTGGGCCCATTCTGTTTGATGGCATGTCACTTTCAGCATTTTATTCTGTCTCTTACTATTCCCCACCTGTCACATTGTTCCTTGAATCTTAGTCCAAACCACCATCCAATTTCACGTGGACTACTGCATTAGCTTTCTAACTGCCTTCTTCACTAGCCATTGTGTTGCCCTCCAATTTGCTTGCCTTAGACTAGAGATCCTGGTAAAAACAGATTCAATCATGTCTTTCCTCTGCTTAAAAAGCCCCTAGAAGTTTCCCATTGCCTTTCAGATTCAGTCCAAAATACTCCAAGGCACTGTACGATCTAGTTCCTGCCGGCTCTCCAAACTCATTTTACCCAACATTTCACCCTTTCTCTCTGATCCCTCCCCTCTCTGGCCTTTTGGTTACTGAGAAATGCCAGACTCTTCCCCTCAGGGTCTTCATACAAACTTTAAAGTTTATGTGTTTGCTCCTCCACTGATTTCCTAGTGAAATTCTCAATTTCATGTCATTTCCTCAGAAGGCTTCTGTTTTCTTTCCTTTTTTTTAAAGATTTATTTATTTTGGGGGGGGGTGTATGTGAATGAGGGGGGAGGGACAGAAGGGGAGGGGGAGAGAGACTCCTCAAGCAGACTCCCCACTGAGCATGGAGCCCACCACGGGGCTCGATCTCTCGACCCTGAGATCATGACCTGAGTTGAAATCAAGAGTCTTAACTGACCAAGCCACCCAGACGCCCGAAGCCTTCTGATTTCAAGCTTGTCTAGCCCCAAGGGCACCCTGGGCTTGGTTCCCTAGCTACAGCCTGCACACCACCTTCCCATCACAATGAGCTTCAGGCACCTGCCCCCCACAGCCCCCTCTGCCTCACCACAGAAGCCTCCACAAATTGGCCCTTTACCATCCAGTTTCCATCCCTCAGACCATCCTAATACAAACTTCTAATGCATTTACGTTTTGTTTTCAGATTTTCTTCTTTTTCTCCTCAGTGCTCTAGTCTCCAATCACTCTTCTTGGACTTCTGATTTTTCCCTGGGCATCAATTCTGGGGTTACACAGAAAATGATAATTTTTTGATGGACACCAATATATGCAGACAGTAAAAAGCTTTGCACCCTGTCCCCATGAAGGACAGGCTTTAAGAAATCAAATGCTTCCAGAAACCTTCAAACAACTTGCAAAGGAAGTTGATATATAAGCCCTATGATCATACAGTCAGAAGGAAAAGGCTCTTGGATTCATGAAATGGCAAATTCCTTTAAGGTACCAGTAAAACCACCTATATAATAGTCCCCAAGAAGAACTTAATAGACGAGGGATAAAATTTTGCACGGGGATGGGGGTACAGGAAACAAGTGCTCCCCCCCTTTTTTAAGTAGGTTAATGCAGAGCTTGTTTAAACAAACATACAACAAAAAACAAAAGTCATATAATTCAAAATAAAGTACAAAAAAATCACATTAAAGGAGACCCATAGCAACACTGTTTATATGCCCATCCCTCCAATCCTAAATTCTCTTGCATTCTATAACTGCTCCAGACTCTTTCCCATGAATTTACATAATTTTTACCCAGCACTCCCCACGGTGCAGCTTGACTTAACCTCTAAGGCTAAGTTCTCCCACCTTATTGTTTCAGTCCTCTGGTTTGCAAGGTGTCTCTTCCTTGGAGAGATTGGGGTGACAGAAGATTGGAGAAATAGCGGTAAGGAATTTTCAGTCTCACCTTAATAAAGCTTGTCCTCATCAGTCCAAAATCTCCCTTGGCTCAGCTCAGGTGATGCTTCTTTGGGGAATGGGGGTGGGTTGGGAGGTTTGACTCATTTCCTCAACCTCAGAACCAAAAATTAAACCCCAACATTCAAATTCAAACTCTGAAATATCCTTCTCTCTTTCCTGTTTTCATCCTGCTTATATGCTATTTGGAGCAACAATAACTTTATACACTAAAACTGATAATACAGTGTGAGAGTGTTCTGTGATATATATTAGCCAAAGGCTACTGGAGCTCTGAGAAGGGAGTAATTTATATTTCCTGTGGAGTAAAGGAGGCTTTAAGAATCTGGTGTCCTTGAAGCTGCATTTTGAAGATGTGGAAGTTCATGAAATACTCAGGGAATAATATCTCCTCCAAGATGGAGTATGGAGTGAATGAAGAAGAGTAGCAGAAAAGGCAGACCATTATACAGGACCTTAAATTCCTTGCTAAGAAAATTGGAGTGACTTGTGTAGGCAAACAAATGAACAAATAAAACCAACCAGGAGAATCTCATCATTTCTGCTTTTTAGATAACTTTTCAGCAGTGTGGAAGACAGACTTGAGAATCACAATTAAGGTTATGTCTGTTTGTTTGTTTGTTTTTTCATATTTGACCCGGTGGGACTATAGATATGGTCTAATCTATAGATTAGAGCAGGTGAAAGGTGGAGCTGGAGTTTCTCTTCTGAAGACCACTTAGGGGTGACTTCAATATGTGGAAAGATGACAAGTGATTAAACCAGGAACATTTCAGTGGCAATAGAGGCAGGGACAGATGGGAAGATCTCAGGGATAACATGGGAAATGTTACTCCATGTCACCTGTATTTTATACTATTATGTCATCTCAAATAGTACTTGGTAGGTGAGGCTTTCTTGGACTCACCCTGGCAAATGGCACGTGGGGGCTGTTTCCTAAGCAACTGTTGTACTTAAGGCACATGTTCATTTGTTTGTCCATTAAACTGCCAGCTTCTTTAAGGTAGGGATTGTATCTTTTCATCTGTTTTCCTCGAACCTTCTAATGACCTGCAAAAATGTGTGCTGGAGGGATGCAGAGTGAGTGGAAAATAGACATTCATAAATGACTGAAGATTACAGGCTATCTAGTAGTTAAAGCAACTAGCATTAAGGGTTCAGTGATATCAAGGCACTACACTGCCATTCAACCTACCCTTTCGTGGTGATTTATTTATTTCTAAATCTTTATTAAACTGGTAAACTCCCCACCCCACAAATAGCCAGAGTATCAGAAGCTGCAATACTAGCTCCAAAGTAACTTTTTTTTCTTAGCTGATTTTACAGAACAGCTACGTGTTAGGAAACGTCAGAAGACGTTGGCCAAGACCCAGAACGTGGGAGGTACCGGTTTCCACATCATTTGATGAGAACGACAAACACGGCTTCAGTCCCTAAATCCCGACTGCAAACCAGTGCGCCGGAACCAAAGAGCCGACACTCGAATTTCCACGCGGGCGCGCGAGTGTGTTGCGACGCATCGATTGCTTTCGTCTGGCGGAGGCCTATCGGGGGAGGACCGAGCACCGGGAGGCCAAGGAAAGGAGGCGAGTCAAGGACTTCCTCCTGGGGAGGGAGCTTGGATTCGGGAGGCCGCGCTGGGCCTGTTGGACTAGGCGTCCACGCGTGGGAGAGTTCAGTCATGTGTGTACATGCGGTGATGCGCGCCCTGCGCAAGAACAAGACGCTTCGCTACGGAGTCCCCATGCTGGTGAGCGCAGGGAGGAGAACGTGTGGGGCAGGATTCCGGATGGGGTGGGGCGTCTAGGTCGGCTGGGTCCCGGCTGTCAGGATCTGGGAGGCGGGAGGCGGGGAGCGGCCCGGGCGGGGAAGGGGCTGGCGGGAGGTGGCCGTCTTAGTCCTCTCCCTTCGCTGGTACCAGGATCCCGAGGCCCCCTTTTACTCTCCCTAGTAGTTACCAGGCTGTGCTTCAGAGATCGAGGTCAGACCAGATTTTACACCAGGTCTGGGTGATTACCCAACTGACATTTTTTAACCCCGTGCTACACCTGGACGGTGCTGTGAATCGTTGGAACTAGATGTATTTACTTAATTTGACTGTACAATTTCGGGCATCTCCACGTTTCAGCTTCTGTTTTGTGAACTGGTTTAATTCTTCCCGGATTGTTGGTAGGAGTTAAATGAAACCTTTTGAAAATCGAGGGTTTAGCGCGGTGCCTGCCACATTGTAGCAGCCTTCAAAAGGTCGCTGACTTATAATTGATCATTTTGAAGCACCTCGAGTGTACTTTTGGTGTTTATATTCTTGCGTCCTGTCCTACACTGAGTTCCCTGAGGATCTCATTCGTATAGAAGATACAGGTTGAGGTTGACATAACTCCAGCCAGAGTTGGAATCCAGCCAGACATTCCCCCTCTTTTGCTGTTTGACCTTGGCAAGTTATTTTGCTTCAGAAAGCCTTGATGTCATAGTAAATGAGACAATTTCAATAAAGCTTGTGGACAAAAGCCACTTTCTTTTAAATACTTAACAGTTTAATCCTTTGTATGGATATTGGTATAGGTGAAGTTACCAGCTTTTGCATTTAAGCAGAACTAAAGGAGAGAAGTGACCTTAAAAAAGTTTAAAGAAAACTGTCTTAAAAGATTATGTAGTAATTATATTTGTGTAGATGACAGGGCATGTGTAAAAACTATCCTCTCTATAGATTCCTCTGCCCCCAAATGGAGATCCATTCAGAAGCATTACGATTGTGGTCACCTGCATGTCCTAGTGAAAGCCAATTTGATTTTGTTCTTATTTTTCAAAATCACCAAAGCTGGGATATTAAAACCACTAATGTTGAAGTACCTTCTCGGTACTTAGGGGTTTCCTCTTTTGTTTTATTTCAGGGAATGGAAAGTACCACAGTAGCCTTTTCCCTAAAAGTGTTACTCTGTACTGGTCTCTACATCTGTACCTCTATACGGGACCTAAAGGACCATGTTTCAAAATACAAGTCCTAAACATATAAATAAATTGAAGCGGAAAATGTTGAATTCAGTACGCTGAAACCAAGCACTACTGGAAAGAACTCAAAAGATACATCCTCTTCATCATGTATCAGTTGCATATGCCACAATTACTATACTACATTTATCTTCAAGCTGAAATTATTTCCTCTCTTGGATAAATATTAATGCTTCAAAGTCCTCTTCATACAGAAGAGGACTTTGAATACCAGGTATATGCAAATACTACTCTCCTTCCTTTCTTGTCCAAACTGCTTGAAGAAAGAGAATATACTTGTTTCAGCTTCCACACTGCCCATTTAGTCTTGAGAATTTACCTTTCTAATCTGACCAGTGACCTACTGGTTCCTACACACCAAAAAATTAACCCATTTAAAGTGTTCGGTTCAGCGTTTTTAGTATATTCACAGAGTTAATGCAGCTATCACCACTGTCTAACTTTAGAATAATTTCATCATCCCAGAGGAGACACCATGCTCATTAGTAGTCACTTCCTATTTTCTCCTCCCTCTCCCCCCACCTAGGCAACCACTAATCTACTTCTGTTTATAGATTTAGTAGCATAATACAACATGTGGTCTTTTGTGACTGCTTTCAATTAGCATAGTGTTTTCAAGATTCATTCATGTTGTAACGTGTCAAAACTTCATTCATTTTTATGGCTAAATAATATTCCATCATTTGGATAGACAATTTTTTTATCCTAATCCTATCCTATTTATTTATCATTTTATTTATCCATTGATGAACATTTAGATTGTTAACATTTTTTGGCCATTGTGAATAATGCTGCTACGAACATTCATGTACAATTTTTGTATGGATGTATATTTTCATTTCTCTTCGTATATACCTAGTAGTAGAATTGCTGGGCCATATGATAACTCCATGTTTAACATTTTGAGGAACTGTCAAGCTATTTCCCAGAGTGGCTACATCATTTTACATTCCCACCAGCAATGAATCCTCCACGTCCTTGTCAACACTTGTTATTGTCCATCTTTTTTATTATACCCTTCCCAGTGGATGTGAAGGTATCTCATTGTGGTTTTGATTTGCATTTCCTTTATGACTAATGATATGGAACATCCTTTCATATGGTTATTGGTCATCTGTATCTCTTTTTTGCAGAAATGTTTATTCAAATCATTTGCCCGTTTTTAAATTGGGCTGTTTTTCTTTTTATTGGGTAGAGGTTTCCTTAAACACCTGGAACCAGTAATTCTTTGTTGAGGGGCTCTGTGTGCTTGTTTTGGTGTGTCTTCAACACTCAGCCAGGCAGGTTACAACTCTGCCTTGAGCTTTTACTTCCTGCTTGCTCAGAGACTCAAGGTTAGCCATAGACAAGTGTTTAAGGCCTTCTCAGATCTTTCCTGAGCTTACACACCACTCTGGGCATGGGCACAATTCTGTTCATGCGCATTTCCTTCTGGATTCTCAGGAATATGTTTGAACTTTTCAGAGTCCTCTGTGGACACCTTATTTCTCATATTTTCCTTTTAAGCTTTTTGGTTAGACTGTTATTTGCCCTGTTGCCTACCACCTCAGGCAGTCACGATGTTAACCAATTGCCTCTGAATTTTTTCAACAAACACTTCCTGAGAGAAGTCTGTTAGTACTAGTTGAGCTCAAAGTCAGGAAAACTGAAGACAGCCTTGTGACTGAGGTTTCCATTGAACCACCAGATTTGATCAAGCAGTGACAGTTCTTAGAGAATAATGTTTTAAGGAGCCCCAACCCCATTCTGCCCCATGATTGCATTCTATTTCATTCATTTATTTATTTATTATTAACATAATATATTATTTGTTTCAGGGGTACAGGCCTATGATTCATCAGTCTTACACAATTCACAGCACTCACCATAGCACATACCCTCCCCAATGTCCATCATCCAGCCACCCATCCCTCCCCCCACTCCACTCTAGCAACCCTCAGTTTGTTTCCTGAGATTAAAAGTCTCTTATGGTTTGTCTCCCCCTCTGGTTTCATCTTGTCTCATTTTTCCCTCCCTTCCCCCATGATCCCCTGTCTTGTTTCTCAAATTCCTCATATCAGTGAGAT